CAGTTAAAAAAAGAAAACAGCTTTTAACGCAAAAAAAACTTTAGGCAAAAAAATACGATTAGAGCAATTATTTTTGAAACATCGTTTTTTTTTATTTTTTTTTATAAAATTATGCGACATTTTTTATACTAAGTAACAACTTACTATTAATGATTGTTTAATAAGAAAACAAATGTTCTTTAATTTATCAACGAGTATATAATTTTTATTTATATACTTGTCTTATTTCCAGTGCTGGATTGAAGAGGTGGGGGAGAGGGAGACGGGATAGAAGGGCTATAGCCCCAGGACTCACATTGTTAGAGGTTGCGAAATAGTCAAAAGGACCATTCTGTATTTTTTTTAATCATTTTTAAGCTGTGGCACATAATAAATGCCACTAAAATAATGCAGCCCGCGGCCCTGAAAGGTCCAACAAGATTCAACCAGTAAAACTAACGCTAGATGATTTATTTATAAATAAAAAGGTTTTTTAAATAACTGTTTTATGCTTCGCGTAGTTTGAAAAGTTTAACACATTTGATTCTTTTCTTTCTATTCTTTTTAGTAAGATGAACAAATAAAATAATTAAATCATTGAATTACTGTAGAAATTCAATTCAATTAAAAAACGTTAAATTACTTAGTGAGAAGGAAGCGGAACAGCTTCGCATTACCGCTGATAATGATTAGTGAGTGGGCTTTATAATTTTAATTAGTATTTAAAACAGAAAAGAGTTAATTATAACGAGACTGTGAGAATGGCTGAAGCAAAAATAATTGAAGTTAGTAAACCAATTTCTAAGAACTTAAAAACTTTTCTTTCTAAGAACTTAAAAACATAAATTTAAAACATTTATTTTTGCAAACACTTAATGTTAGTTTAAAACATTTATAGCTTTGTAGATGTGGCTTCGAGAATGACATAGTATTAAAATAAAAGTTTGTTTGATATTATATTGTTAAAACTAATTATGCTAGAAATTTCGACGAAAACATAACAAAACTCAAATAATACAACTTTTTAAAATAATTCAACAGAATACTCTAGAACATTCGGTTTGTCTTTTTTGAATACTCTAGAAATTTCCGCTAGTATTTTTTGAACCAATAGAAATAGTTGTTAGTAGATTTGGCGGGTTTATTATGTTTGCAAATATTCTTTTTTTTATTTTTCCGCACAAAGTTTGAGTTTATGTATGTTACCGTGTAAGTCCGAAACACAAGATTTACGATAACTTAATAATTATTTTGGGGACAAACAAGGAAACATACGTGAATTTGAATGTTCTCAAAACGACTAAAAATCTGGTCAGTTTTTCGCAACTAAATATTATTTCCGTGGTCAGTTATCAAGTGAATCGCACCTGTTTCCCGACCAAGCCTGGTAAATTATATAAAACCTTAAAGTGACTTTTGAAACAATATTTTAAAAAGAACACTTAAATTGGAAACTTTAATAAAGATACTTCTATATTCAGTAAAAACAAGAGGTGACTTTTGAAAAAATATGAAACTATGAAATTTTAAAAAATAAATTATGAAAAAATGAAGAAATATGACCTTGAGGTGACTTTTAAAAAAATATGAAAAAAAGAAGAATAAACCAAAAGTCAAGTAGTTTTCTTCTAAATGTGTTATTTTGATACTAAAGAACTTGAGATAAATTTAAAACAGTATATAACAAGGAACAATAAGGCAAACCATAAGGCAATATAGACTTTTGAAAAATAATTTAAAAATATAATTCAGACAAACAAAATAAAATCTAACATGACTTTTAAATAGATCATCCTATTCATATTTTAAAAATCCAGACAATTGTTTGAATAAAATATCCGTAAAAAATCCAGAATGTATATTCCCTTATTTTCTTTTTAATTTTGCCTTTAGCTAAGTTGTTTTAATTTTTTTTTGGATACTTTTTATATTTTTTCTATGAGTGATGAAGGAAAAAGCCTAAAAACCAAATATATTACAAAAATACATATATTTAAAATGTTTTGAAAATCCGGAAAAACTAAAAAAAAATATCAGGATTTCAGGAAATATACGGAAAAAGATAATCCCTGCTTTTAAAACGAAATTTAGAAAGCAACAAAAAAGCAAACCTTAAGGCAACTAGATTTTTTTATTTACATATTTTTATAGTAAAACTCAATAAAGCAGAAAAATTTTTTAAACGATATATAAAAAGGGAGGATAAACCAAACCTTAAAGAGACATCTAGATTACTTTTAAAATACTTAATTATATAACTAAAAAACTTTAGGTAAAATTCAAAACAATATATAACAAGGAACAATAAAGGAAACCTTAAGGCTACATAAAGATTTTTAAAAGATATTTTTTTAAAATCAGCCAAACAAAAAAACAAAAAAAATTGTGACTTTTTTAAAAAAAAATAAAAACAAAAAAATAAAAAAATAATGTCAACATTTAAATTTTTTTACAGATATTTTTAAAATTAAAATTAAGCCAACCAAAAATATCTTAAGAAAGTTTTTAAAACTTTAAAAAAGGAACAATTAAACAAACTTTATAGCAACATTTATCTTTTTTACATTTTATATTTAAATAGTGAAACTCAATTAAAAAAAAAGAAACTTGAGGTGACTTTTAAAACAATATTGAAATAGAAAAAATAAACTAAACTTTAAAGTGTCATTCAGATTTTTTTTTTAAATTTAGGTAAAAATTAAAACAATATATAACAACAATAAAGTAAAATATAATTCAGACAAACATAAAAACCTTAAGGTGACTTTTAAAACTAAGTTAAAAAAAAAACTAATCACAATATATAACAAGGAACAATTAAGCAAACCTTTAGGCGACATATTAACTTTTTTTGAGATATTTAAAAATATAATTCAGCTAAACAAAAAAACCTTAAGGTGACTTTTAAAACTAACTAAAACATAATTTTTTAAAACAAATAACAAGGAGCTACCTAACAAACCTTAAGGCAACATATAGACTTTTTGAGAATATTTTTAAAATATAATCAAGCCAAACATAAAAATCTTAAGGTGACTTTTTATTGATTAGGTTTACATGGCAATAGTACACAAAGCAGTTTATAATAATTTATGAAAGTTACTCATTTAAAGGATTTTATGGTTTAGCAATAATTTTTGAAGAAATTTAGGTTAAGGTGAATGTTAACAAAACTTTGATTAACATCCACCGTAAAGGAAATTTTAGAACAAAATATAAAAAAGAAAAAGAAAATAAACCTAAAGGCAACATCTAGATTTTTTTACAGATATTTTTATAGTAAAACTCACTATTAAAAAAAAACTTGAGGTAAATTTCAAAACAATATATAAAAAGGTAGAATCAACTGAACCTTAAGGTGTCATCTAGATTTTTTTCAGAATATTACAAAGTAAACTTTTAAAAATAGAAAAGAAAAAAGCAAAGTTTAAAACAATACATAACAAGGTAAAATAAAGCGAAACTTTAAGGCGACATAAATATATATATATATATACTTAAATACTTCATTTTATAACTGGAGAAAAAATCTAAAACATTATATAATAAAAAAACCAAACATAAAAACCTTAAGGTGACTTTTCATATAATATATAAAACTGGACATTAAAACAACACTTAATGTGACAACTAGATTTTTATATAGCTAGTTTTATAGTAAAATTCAATAAAAACAAGAGAATGTTGAAATGACTTTTAAAACAATGTAAAAAAAGGAAAAATAAACTAAACCTTAAAGTGTCATTCAGATTTGTTTTAAAAAGTTGTGGTAAAAATTAAAACAATGTATAACAAGGAACAATAAAGTAAAACATATAGGGACATAAAATATTTGAAGATATTTTTAAATATAATTCTGCCAAAC